ATGTATCTACTAACTAACTAATAGTCATCTAGTAGTAGTCAAAAGTGACCTTAGTATAATCACGTGATTATCCTTCAGAAATAAATAATCCACATTATAATAATAGGTCTTTACTTTATGAAATTGCCGTTATGTATGCAATAAGTGAAAGTACTTATTTTTTCAAACTTTTTTATTTCTGTTATTCGAAGTAATCACCCATGCAATCGACGCATCTTTGCCAACGCATTGGCAGTTTATTGATGCCCTTCTTGTAAAAATCAGCTGGATGGGAGGCAACAAAGTCTTCAAAGGCATTCTGTACTGCCTCTCGGAAATCGAATTTTTTACCCACTAAAAAGTTGTCTAAATATTGGAAAAAGTAATAGTCGGTAGGTGCAAGGTCTGGTGAGTATGGCGGATCAGGGAGAGCTTCCAACCCCAGCTCTTGCAGCTTGGAGACTGTCTGTTGCGCAGTATGGGGTCGCGCGTTGTCGTGAAGGAGCCGTGGGGACGACCGATTCATCATTCTCTCCAGTTCTTCACAGTACACATCTGCATTAATGCTCATGCCGTTTTGTAAAAAGCTGTGGTAAATCACACCCGCACTAGACCACCAAACAGTGACCATCACCTTTTTAGGGGTCATTTTTGGTTTAGGACATTGCTTTGGTGCTGAACCAGGGTCTGATTGTCGAACAGAATCCATTTTTCGTCGCACGTAACAATTCGTTTCAAAATTCCTTCATTTCTTTGCCTGTTGAGCAGCACAAGGCAGGTCTTAACGCGTACGTTGCGCTGGCTATCGTTAAGGTCGTGGGGCACCCATCTATCAAGCTTTTTTACTTTGCCAGTTTGTCGCAAATGGATCAATATTGTTTTGATGCTTACATTAAAAGCTGCTGCTAGCTCAGCTGTAGATTGAGTTTCGTCAGCTTCCACAATCGCCTTAATTCATTATTGTTAACCAGTCTCCGGACGACCACGAGCTTCATTTTTCAAGTCAAAATTTCCAGAAAAGAACCGGGAAAACCAATAACGGGTTGTGCGTTCGTTTGTACAGTTCTCTCCGTAAACGTTTTTGATGTTACGTTCCGTTTGTGTCGCGTTGGTGCCACGACGGAACTCATATTCCATAATTACACGAATTTTTAAAGTATCCATTATGACGAAAAATGTTCAAAATACACGCTAATCAAGAAACAAAAGACTGAGTTTGTAAATAGAATGTCATGGTTTTAAAACAAAATTAATTTGAATTTAGAATACAGAGCCATTACAAACTTTTTTTTATTTGAAATGACCAGTACTGAAGAAAGGCAATTTCATAGGTAAAGACCTAATAGAAAAGAACAATCTTTGAACGGGGTTGTATGCTGTTTCATTGCTTGCTTGCTCAATCGGTGCAGAACTTTTTGACTTTTTGAAGCGTACACCAACCAACTTAACATTTTTACATGTATACATTTGTAGTTGGGTTAATATCGGTTACAAATAAACGGACCATTTATTGATAATTTATTAACAAGGTAGACCAACAATAAGTTTTTTTTTTTTTGACGTGACAACGTCTTATAAATTGGTTTGCCGGGTGACACTTCAAGAAACTGCGTTACGCTCCGCTCACGTTATGCGCTCACAATGAGAGCGAGTGAGAGGCACGCGTCCCTTCCAATCGGGCATGGTTAGCCCGCCTAAGAGCGAGAGAGACAGACATAGTCGTTGTCACGTAAAACTTTCGCCCGTATACCGACTTTACAGGCAACCAATTTTTTTTTTTGTATCCTCCTATCCTCTTGTTTTTACAACAATCTGTCTCCTTCATGGGACATTCAGCAGTATGTTGGTCGATTCTATACGCTGGCGCGCTCGGTATGTGACCTGTGTCACATCCTCGTTGTTAGACAGTAGTTATATTTACTGTGATTGTGATTGTAACAACAATAAGTAACGTAAATAAAGTTTGTATTTACGACAACTTATAACATCATGTCTCAACTTGCCGTCTCTGGTATACGATATAAACCAGAACCACTTAAAAACACTGGACGTGAAAGTCACTAAGATATTGAAGTCGTGGCTTGGGTTTGCAACATCTGCAGACCCGTCAACATTATACAAGGACTCGAATAACTTTGGAATGAAATTAAAAAGACCTTCGGAACTCTACAAACACCTAAGAGTTACCAAAATGCATGTCTTGTCAAAATCACAAGACGAAATCGTTAGATCTCTTCCAAAAGACAAAAATTCATCAGAACTCGAGTCACGGCTCCGATTCCAATTCATGGTGGGTACGCAGTCCAGTAGAGTTGGATTGAGAAATGCTAGAAGACAGACGGACAAAGAGATAACAAAATTTTACCTACAACAAGATGAAAACAAGACCTACAAGGTGAACGCAATGAACCTAGAAATGCAGAATGAATGGTTAACTCTAGGAGAATTTTGTATTCCACCAGCTTTGAAATGGCGCACACTTTTATACGATTGGTCACCTGCCCTATTAAATTGACTCTCCCCGATCAAATCAACCTAGTAAGGTGGGAAAATGATACAGAAAAGGCTTGTACGATGTGCAGTGTGGAAATAGGTACAGTCAGACACTTACTGGCAGGATGTAAGGCGCTATTATACCGGGGTCATTATTTACATCGCCATGATAGAGTTTGACAAATCATACGCGAAGCTATAAGTTTATCGCTGGCGAGAGCGAAAAAAGGAATAACAACAAACATAAGAACTAACATCGCGTTTGTAAAGGAAGGCTCAACAAAAAGACTACACAAAAGCCGTACTCAATTATTAATAGCCAGTGACTGAACATTATTAGTGGACACGTATGGAATCATTACAGAATACCGGAGGATATCTGTGTCTCGGCGTTCAGACCAGACATATTTCTTTATGCAATTTCAATTAAGCGTGTATTACTAGTAGAACTCACGGTGAGGTGGGAAACGAACACCCCTATAGACCACGCTTTAAAAGAGAAACAAGTACTTTTACTTAACCGACGAAATAACTAAAAATGGTTATGTTGTAATGTAACGTAACGTAACGCCGTGGAAGTGGATGCGAGGGGTAAACCAGCAAAATCCATCTATTACCTGATTAAAGACCTTGGATTGCTAAGAGCTTCAGTAAGCTCTTTTCTTGAACGAATATCCAAAGCGGCATTGCTAGGCTCGTATCAAATATGGTGAGGGTAACACAGCACACAGTGGAGGTGAGTGCTGACGCGTCGCAAGGAGTACTCCCTAAACCTATACCTAGGTCGCAAGTCCCATCCGCAAGGAGCCAACGCCTGAGTGCCACCACTGCGATGGCCAGACCGTGGACACGGCTCTCCACACGCTGGCAGAGTGCCCGGCGTGGGTTGAGCAGAGGCGAGACCTCGTGGCGGCCATCGGAGTGGGAGTTCTCTCGCTCGATAGCCTGATTGCGGCTATCGTGCGGAGCGAGAGTGCGTGGAACTCTGCCGTCTCCTTCTGCGAGCAAGTTATGCTCGCGAAGGAGACGGCGGAGCGGGACCGGGAGAGGTTTAGAACTCTCCCGGCCCGCCAGGCCCGGGCACGGGCCAGGCAGCGCAGGCGACTCAGGCGCCGGAGGTCGCAGAACGACCTCCGTCCTCCATAAGCGCAGGCCTGGGGGTGACAGGTGACGCCATCTGTCACCCTAGCAGAAGCAGGCCGGGGTGACGGCGAGCGCGTTGCGAAGCGCGCTCGCTTCCAGGGAGCACAGGGAACATGGGGTTCCCACACGGGGGGGGGTCGTCTACTCGTCTGTAGATGACCCGAGGTATGTCGGGGCACCAGGGACTTCCTTTCTAGGGTATACCTGGTTCCCCGGCTATTAGTACCCGGCGAAGGCGTGCGGTTTTAGTCGGTTCGAGTCCGACATGCCACCGACAGGTGGTATCCGAGGGGATTTCCGCACGGAAAACAAAAAAAAAAAAAAAAAAAAAGGTCGCAAGTCCCAGGCGCATGTGTTGCTCCCATCTATCATGCGATGGTCCCGAAACCCGCACGGTAATTCTATGGAACGCTAAGAAATAGGTCTTTAATTTAAGAAATACGTAAATTTAAGTACATCTTTATTTTAGGGATCGTCGAATGGTTTCCGACCTTATGGTGGTCCTTTATCAAGGAGTTAATAGTCCTGCACTCTTATTTTTTGCGTCTGCGTTTATACTGACGCAAAAAAGAGAAGTGCTATAAATTTAACGTGTTGTTGCAGCTGGGTGTTTGTTTGGGGTATCATAGTCCTAAACGAATAGACCAATTTTGATTAGCTGTTTTCATTTGATAGGAGACATGATCCTAAATATTTTTAGTTCTGTTCGAAGGGTTCGAAAATCTATTCTTTTATCGTTGAATAGATTTTTAGTCTTTTTTAAAGTTATACCTAAATTGGATAGGACTTACCTCGTGTTAGGTTGGAAGGTATTGGTAACAGGAATGACCCTTCTAAAGTTTTGAATTTTTCGTGGGTAAAATCTGAATGTTTCATTGGTGTTTATAACAAGAATTGTATCAGCAGTAAAAAGCGTTTATAACTTAACAAAAAGAAAGCAAAAACCATCTCCCCTAAAACCGTGCAAGGAGTATACAAAACCTTCAAAGGAAGATAATTATACTTAGATTTTTTACATTTTGATAGCGAATAAACACTTTGGACATCGCTTCTAACAATTACTCCTTTGAAGAAGTAGTAGAAGAGAAGTGCAACTAATAAAATGTCACAAACAAGAAACTTAGCATAGATTTATTATACCTAGGCCGGTATCACCAAGTCCATTGTCCAAGCTCGCGACCTCCGATACCACAGAATATTCTGATAAATATAAAAAAAAAATAGTTGACGGAACACCCCGAGCTGTACAAGAGCTTGTGTGTACATATATTAATCCGAGATTTTTTCCCCCGCGACAGTAGCGCTCTGACCGCCGTCCACACCGTCCGTATGCGGCTCGATTTGCTCTCATACTTTAACTGTCTACGTCGTAGGAACCTACCACGATGGGTATATCCAGTGTGTTCGTGTATATTCTAGTCACTAGTTTTTTAAGCTTAGAAGTTACTATGTTAGGTAGTTGTGCCAACTGCGCGAACGGGGACTTGAGTGTAACGGAGTTAACTGACGTTCGTATAGAGTTTGTTAAACAGCAGATCTTGAAGAAGTTGCGGCTGAGCAAGAAGCCGGCAGTGGCTCTGCCATTGAATAGTCTGCCGATGCCGGTGGCTCAAGGTCAGACGTTGAGCGACAGAGTCGACAAACCGCCGGAGTTCGACGATTACTACGGTCGAACTGAACAGAAGATAATATTTCCAGTTGAAGGTGAGTTTAGTTGATTAACCAAAGAAAGAAAACATTTAAGATATCTCTAGGTGTTAGCTCAATGACGGGTTTAATTTCAAATTAAATATTAAGAATAGTTTCATTTGAAATGTTTGTGCGATACTTTTTTTAATAATAGGATATTAAAGAGTTATTTTAATTTAACTTAGGATTTAACTGAGCAGGTATTGTTTAGGAACAAAAATAGAGGACATCCTGACATAGATGTCCAATAAATTTTCTCTTACGTTTCATTCTTCTCTTCTCTCACTTTAAAAGAGTGCTTCTTTTAGACACAATGTAGCCTATGTTCTATCAATGTATAAAATACTAAATTTAACTAATTAAACTATTTTAAATACACATTTTGTAATGATAGAACGAACTATACGACAGCTGATAAAATACGAACGGAGTGACATTGATTTTAATTAATTAGAAGAGAGTTGATAACATTAGGACTATGTTAAATATACTTTAAGATATATAAAGAATACTGGTATGTATTTACTTTCTCTGTTTAAATTGTAACTCAATTATAATTTCTCAAGATGTCACATCTGTCTCTGAAAGCTCCGCTGTTCATCTATCATCATCATCAACAGCCTTTAACAGTCCACTGCTGGACATAGGCCTCTCCTTAGAAAGGCGGTTTTAGCATACTATGCCACGCTGACCAGACGGGTTGGTATAGGGTTTGTGTCAAGTTTCTTTCTCTTTGCAGTGCTGTTGTCCTGCGTAGTTAGCTCCCCTAGTCGGCTCTTACGACACCCACGGGATGAATAGTGGTGGTAACACTCCGTATTCTTAATCCGTCACCACACGGAAACACGTCCGCTATTCAACCATTTAAAAAAAAACATAATTCCACGATTTTACCCATATAATTAAACTAAATAAAACTTTCTAACAATAAAAATCGAATACTGGGTCGTAGAGATGATGAAAGAATTTCATAATCATCATATTATCAAATACATTAACAAGTGCCGGCTCTGGAACCGAACTTTGTACCCGGACAGATACACGCAGCACGAGCGTGCGTTTAACCCACTTATTGTTGGTTAAAATTGCAATAAAATCAGTTCTATAATTAAGATATTTAGGTCAAAATTGTTATGATGTGTTATTAATTAAAAGAAAAAAATTAACAAACATTTTTGCGTGCACTTTACAAAGTTGCGTGTCTTTACAAAGTTTTGAGTTAAAGAAATTAATTCAATATCACAAGATTCTGCGAAGTGGCCACTGGATGTGGCCATAGGCTTATTGTGATCATGGCAGGTAATTCAAATACGTGATAACGTTAGTTTTAATTTATGAACATAATCATTTACTTTTTCTCTATTTATTAAGAAAGATTTGATCTGTTTTGTTGGCATTTTTTATATAAATACTTGGTTCATTTAGATTTTGTCTGTCAGTCTACCTCTCGGGAATACTATATTTCTTGTGTGTTTTTGTGTACATTGTGTATTTTTTTATTAATGTGTGTGTTCCCCTTGTGTGGGAGTCGAACGCACAACTTTGGCTTGACAGTCAGGATCGCGAAACCATACACCAACAGGTCCACTTTTCTCTACATTTGTTATTAACCTACTTTAAAACATGGCAAGATTATGTTTTCGACGTATACATTATTCTAATATTGAGTATTTTATCTACTTCTGGACTTATTTTTAAAATTCTCTGAAAAAATGAAGAAATTAATAAAAAAATTAATCATCATTATGCAGCCTCTAATAGTCCGCTGCTGGACATAGGCCTCTCCTTAAAATGAGGTTTTGGCCTATTATACCACGCTATGTACTATACCGTGTGATGACGGATAAAGAATACGGATTGTCACCACCCCTATTCATACCGTGGGTGTCATAAGAGCCGACTAAGAGAGTAAACTATGCAGGACAACAGCACTGTAAAGACAAGGAAAACTTGAAACAAACAAAACCGTCTGTTGGCCAAAACCTCCATTCTAAGGAGAGGCCTATGTCCAGCTGCAGTGGACTACTAAGGGGCTTTATTAGACGATTGATGATGATATTAATCTAAGCCTGCTCAAAATAAAGTTCGAAAAAAAGTTATCACTCTGAAATACGTTTCGTTTATTATTATTTTCTATTGAACTGCGACAGGCCAATGACTTTTGACAGAATGAAGTCTGTCGGCGCCGGGGCAGCTGGTTTGTATTAAAATATTGAATTCGGAATCCATTGAGTCATCGCTATCAGCAAGATAAACAGACATTCTTGAAATATAAGAGATATTTTCACGTCACACTGACGTCTGCTGTGGTTATACGTCACGGTGGGCGTCATTCTTGTGCGCATACGTTCATTGATTACTTAATACTAATTTTATAAATAGAATGGTCCATAAATATAACGTTTATTATATAAACAAGAAATTGATGTAAATATTAGATTAAATTCCTCTTTTCATCATCATCATCATCAACAGCCTTTACTAGTCCACTGCTGGACATAGGCCTCTCCTTAGGTAGGTGGTTTTGACCTACGATACAACGCTGGCCAGACGGGTTGGTATAGGGTTTGTTTCAAGTTTTCCTTCTCTCTTAAAATTAATTAAATTAATTCCTTAATTCATCTTTTAAAAGTGTGTAAATCAAGATAAAAAATACTAAACTGGCGTGAAATATCTGACATTTAAATTTATAGCTTAGCTAATATATACGTAATACATTGAGACGACAAATGGTCGTGCTCATCACTCAATTATTTGTTCTTCGTAATCGAACCCGCGACCTCTGGCTAAGCATTCAGAGGGCCAAGAGGTATTTTCGTAGTAAATTATTAAACGTTGGATACTACAGCAATGTGATTATATCGTATTGTTAAGGAAAATTCAATCGGTAACCGGATAGTTTTAGTAATACTTTACTATTTTACTACGAAAATATCTTTTGTGACAGATGTGAGATCAAAGTTGATCGGAACTGAATTCAGACCGAACTTTTATAGCGAGTATTATATATCTAGGCCTTTTGGATCACTAACCACCACATTACTAGTTAAGTACTACTATGAGTAAGTTAATATTGTTTATTTTCTAATAATTCCTATGAACGGACGTTTTTTTCGACTGTCAAACGCTTTCTTCATTTAATTGGAATTTTCCCAGTCCCTATAGTGTCAAATAAATCTTAATTAACACAAAAAATGATAAGTTATATTTTAAAGTAAATAAAATTAAGAACACGGAACTGTGTTTGAAGCGTTTTATCTTATTGGGACGGTGGAGGTAATAAAAAACTAGTATGGTAAGCCCCTTTGACCCAACTAATTTGTCTGCTGACTTTATCAAACGGTAGTTTATTGGTGATTATATTTTGTCACATGAACATTAAGTTTCTGGCAGAAGTTTGTGGAAGAGAAAGAGTTATTGGCAAAGGTATAAAGAGCGACACGAGACCATCTTATATACCTACATATATAAAAATATTAAGTTGGTTTGTGTACGCTTCAAAAACTTAAAAAGTTCTACAACGATTGAGCTCTGACACGATATACACTGCTTCAATCATTGTTTTTATCGATTTTCACGGCAGTTTTATGCCCTATTTCTCATCAATTGCATTGTAAAATGTGTCACAGACAGCGAGGTGTGACAGGATACAGCTATTTAGTTACCTATTTCATAGGCCGTTTACACGCGGGTACGCCATTATCGCGGCGGTAAGACCCGTTAAGGAGGATTGGCTCGAGAGGCATCACGGGACTCTCTCATACCGGTTGACGCAGGTGATCACTGGGAAAGGATGCTTCGGGGATCACCTGTGTCTGATCCGCAAGGAGCTAACGCCTGAGTGCCACCACTGTGATGGCCGGACCGTGGACACGGCGCTCCACACGCTGGCAGAATGCCCGGCGTGGGTGGAGCAGAGGCGTGACCTCGTGGCGGCCATCGGGTCGGATTTCTCTCGCTCGGTAACATCATAGCGGCCATGGTGCGGAGCGAGAGTGTGTGGAACTTCCGTCTCCTTCTGTGAATAAGTTATGCTTGCGAAGGAGATGGCGGAGCGGGACCGGGAGAGGTTTAGAAAAAAAAGGCTGTTTACACGCGGTGAGCCTCGACAAGTGTCCACAAACACAAGTGTGTAAACGGGGTGTTGGGCTCCGCTCGCGTGTGCCCGTTGTCGATCGGTACTAGTATCGGTTTTTGAACACAGATCAAAGGAAGCTCGCGGCAAGCGTTTGCGACGTATTTACACGTTAGTGCTTTTAATTTGTTATTACAAGTATTGTATGTAGTTGAGCAGTCGGGAATCAACATTAAGTCTCAATGCTCCACTGATTTTTCAGTTTAGTTCAGTGCCGGTCGTTTGTATTTTGAATATAAAAATATACGGAACACAATAGCACACTCGCAAGCGTGTAAATGGCATCCAAGCGTTGGCAAAGAATTGGAGCTTGTGGACGTTTGCCAAGCCACGGCACACATGTAAACTAGGCATTACACATGCGACTGCGACAGGGTCTTGGACTCGCGACCAGAAGGCCGAATGCAAGTTTATTTCACATCGACTCGCTCTCCACGCGAGCACGATTAGCGTTGCGATTGGTGAAGGTTTCAATTTGCGATTGGGTAAGGGCCAATCGCAGCACCGAACGCGGTCACCGTGACGATCGAGTGAAATAAACTCGCACTTGGCCCTCAGTTGCGATTCCGTAACTTTTTGATGAAACTTTGTATTTTATCATCTAAGAAACAACAAACCGTTTTAGCATTTCTCGTTCCAAATTACATTTAGTAAATATTTTTGTAAGATATTTCTGAATCCCTTGATTTTGACGGTAACATTTCAAAAAGTTATGCCGAGTTATACGTGCACTCCAATTAGTTGTTTACACATAAACGCACTATGTTATGTATCGCTCACACTTTAACACTCACATATGCACAATCACTTACACTCTACACACACACTACACACAAACACACTTACCTTAGATCTCAATTATTATTAATACTAATAAACC